AACATGTTTAATATTTGAAAAGAGAAGGGAGATTTTTCTGGTATCCTGACCAACAATCTTCCAGATTAATTGGTGATTCACCTTGTGAGAATTTAATAATACAAAGTTGGCCTTGTTTGATACTTGACAGTTATTACTTTTGAAACATTTCAATGTTAATCGGCGCTATCAAAATACAAATTTGGTCTTTTTTTCTTTCTTTAATCAGTTAAATATCATTTATACTGCTCCAAGGGGACACCAGACCCTTTAACACAGGGAGTTAAAAAAACCAATAGCACGGTTAGTTCTAGTAAGGCTGTAAGTCCTATAGTTTTGATGGATCATTTTTATTTATATTATGGACACCATAATAGCCCTTCCTCTTAATAGCATTTCGTTGCTTTCTGTCTCTGAACAGCAGAGATGAGGGAGTAACAAAATATCCAGTTCTGGCAACATCCCACAGCAAGATGGTCCATGAATAAAGAGATAGTAACCTGCTGCTATAGGTCTGCTCACAGGCATAGGTAATAAGGTGACTTAAAATAGTGACCCTTTCTTAACCATTCATCTTTTTGGTAATATCTAGGATAACCTGTGTCCTGTTTATTGTACTGTTGAGGCTTAACTATTTATTATAATTATGANTTTTTTCTAACAATTTAAAAAAACATTGCTATTTTACACCTCATATAAACTAAATACAATATTACAGACTTTGTGGAAGGAAATCTATCATTACTCATTAGAGACACTGTGAAATGTTGTTAGATTTTTCCAACAAAAGTGTAAAATGAGTCTAAATACAGTATAGAATGAGGAAAGACATTTGAGGTAATGCTTTTGTGCTACAAACTGTTTTTGCAGAGAATGTAGCTGTGTGTTGTAAAATGTTGACTGCGTTTCTATTTAGAAGACATTCTGATTATATGTATCTGCAAATAAAATGTTAAAGTGTAAATGTACACAAAAGTGTGAAATAAAAATAGATAAAACATTAATAAAAATAACGTGTCAAATAAAAACTAAATGAGGAGCTGGATTGATGGAGCTCAATTTACAGTCACATATTGCTATACTATAATTGAATATACATTATTCAATTCTTCAGCATATTTATATTGAATTATATTTATTTTAAATTATTTTTTTTAAAAACTTGAAATGCACAATAGGGTTACCCTCTGTTCTTTCAGCCAGAGCCCTTGATGTGTGGCCCTACAGAAAGAAAGAAAATATGGATCTATCAATACACACACCATATTGGATGCTTTGATTCCTTCAAGTAATGGGAACAGTCGGTTGTCATTGTGAATTTTATATTGCACTTTAGCAGTGATTGATCAGTTTGCAGTGACTTAATCATACTGCCCATCTGTTCCGTCTCCTACAACGTCCTTTCTACATTGCCTTAAATTATTGGGTAATCTGGATGTCAAAACTACAGTATTCACTCATTGTTCGAGGGCCAAGGACTATTAACCTTTTTTTTCTACGAATCACTATCAACATGAGATTAGTGCTCAATGAATACCAGAAGTTCTGCAAAACCAGCCTGTAATATAGTCCTGGTCTTCCAATTTAAAAAAAACTGTTAAATGCACCCCCAAATCTCTATGTGAAGTGATTTCAATTCTTCCACTCTGTGGCAATTGCAGGTGGCAGCCAGACAAATCCAAACCTGAGGTAGATGCAGAGACTTTGTTACTCATGGTGGCATGCTGTAGTATTTTTGGCAACAAGCAGGTCCCGTGTTCACCCACGATGAGTATTCATTGACTGTTTCTCTGCATCTCTTTTACTGAGATTTTTGTTTACTCTTTGCTTAAGATTTTTTTCTCCATTTAGGACATGAAATCAGATTATTTCTGATTAGTTTATATTTCAGTCAATCATCAGTGTATATATATTATCCCTGGAATGCTAGAAGCTTATTTTAAAATCAACATTTGGGATCTCATATTTCATACAGAAGGTATAATTGTATCACAGTTTTTTCTAGTCCAACTTGGATCAGTCCTCAAATAACAAAGTACAAAGCTGTGAGCGTGTGACAGCTTGAAAAAGTAACAGATTAAACTGTGGTACATGTTGAAAAAGAATTAGGTTCACGATATTTCAGCTGTTAACTTTTTACCTCCTCCCCAAGATTTCCCTGAGGAAGGTATACCAATCAAAATTTATTTGAAATAAGCTATTTTTGAAGCATATTCCACAAAATAATATTCAAAATAAACTTAACTCAGTAGAACATCAAACCTCCAACACTTTATGTGCAACCTATGTGTGCTTACAGTATAATAGTTTTCATTTAAGACAGTTTAACTTAGATGAAATCCCACTGAGTCAATATTATGCTACCATAATTCATTTTACAACCCACATGTGTTCATGATGCTGAGTTAGTGCTGGCCATTTGGCAGAGAATTCTCATAATTTGCTAGTCACCACCGAACAAATGGTTTGCGCCAGCATGAATCATACTGTAGCTGTGCTCAGGACAGAAGGGGCAGTGTGATTGGCACCTACCAACAGAAACCAGTAGATATGCAGCTGCACTTCAGCTTGCTCCAAGGACAGCTCAGGTTACTCAATTTTGCTAAACAGGTAATTGCGCAACTAGTTCTTCAAGTAAATAAGTGAGAAAATAGTTTTGTTTGTTGCTATTTACGTTTTTAGAGCTCTTATTCAATGCAAGGAGAAGTGGCAAATATCCACATTTCTATACAGTATAAACACAGAAAGAAAGATACAATTTCACAGTTGTACAAATTCTGGAATAACGTTTTTTTAAAAAAAATTATAGTAATTTTAAAGATGCAACAGAAAAATACCAGAGACAACTAATTTCCCCTCCTGTACTCATCTGTGTATCACATTCTCCACAAGCGAAATTTAACCTAAGTGCCTACAATATTCTATTCCTTTATAACTAAATTTGTGAAACTAAATTTAATAACTCCTTCTTTCTGGAGATTCTAAATATTTTTTCCAGATTTGTTTTATTATTATAAATTTATTTCTTGCAAACATCAATATAAACATCCTCAGCAATAATAAAAAAATAAAAAATACCAGAGACAACTAATTTCCCCTCCTGTACTGTCCTGTGTATCACATGTAAACAGTTCCAATCTCTTCATTAGGTTTATAGAACAGCAATGAGCAACATTCAGCTCATTTCCTCCTGTTGTGAAAGGCACTATACAAATGTAGATTTGTATTGTATTTGCTATGGGATGTCTAAAATATTTGTAAGTATATCCTAATCTAATGCCTTAATGTTAAGATGTTCTTATACAAAATTCTGTTTCTTCCTTTCAGGGCTGAAATATAAAGTTTACAGATGAAAAGGTTAATAAACCTGACTTCTAGGTGCAAGAAAATTGGTAGAATTACAAGTTTTACTGTCTCTCTTTTGTAATTTTCAATGTTTTTGAATAATGAGGAGAAATGGATTTCAAAATGACATTGCTGGAAATGTGCCACGTTAATGACAGCCTTGAATTCCTATTAAAATGCAATGTTGTCTTTGTTTTATGAACTACTCTCCATTTTTCATTCCATAAAACAAATTACACATGTAATGGATTTAATGAAATATAGTCAAGTTCAGACCATATAAAGTACATCAAAGATTTAAGTTTCATTCTTCAGTAATGAATTCATGGTTGATTTTCTTCAGCCTAAAAGAAACATTTGGGGGAAATATTTTCTGCACAATTTTCTACCAGTGTTCATTGTATAACTTTTTAAGTTACAGTAATTGAATTACTTATTTAGTTATAAATTTGTAATTAAAAAACACTAGGAAACTTACCTGTACTTCAAATCCCAAATATGTCTTCATTTGCAAGGATATGGGGAAAGAGCAGGAGAGTGGGACTGATTGGGTAGCTCTTCTAAAGAGCCGGCATCAGCACGATGGGCCGAATGGCATTATTTTAGGTTGTAATATTCTATGATTGTTTCTGACCATAGGGTATGTTTTCAAGGCATGAGACAGAAGATGCAAAACAACTTTGCTTGTCTGGGTTCAGATGCTGAAGCAAATGATTTTTTGTTAATATAGTTATTAAATGCTACGTTTTCTAAATACTGACGTGCAAATTAAAATTCATTGCTTCTTTTTTGATAGAACTTATTCCTTTTTAGTTAAAACAAAAGTCTGTGATAGCTGAATGCTGTCAACACTTTCCTCAAAACATGAGGATCTATATTAACCTGAGCATGGATCTCCACTGGTACAAAAAACATCTGTTCTTCCAGGAACAACATGGTTGTCCTTACTTGCCCAAACATATGTGACAACACCTCATACACATCAAGCAAAAGCTTTTGGTTGGCTCTGGCTTCCTGCTTGTCCCTTGTCCCCTCCATTTCAATTTTAGAACTAGGTGCATCTCAAATTCGATGCCAATGCTCCCCATGACCAAGAATAATTTGCCATCCTTCTGCCCTTCCACAGGGGCTCTCAGGAAAACTACTGCTCCCTGTGCCTTTAGGCCTCCAATCACAGCCAGAGATTCAGTGTTTTCCGCTCCTTTTGTTTCCGTGACAAAATAAGGCAAGGGAATGCCGTAGGAGGTAGCTTTCAGAAACCAAGGCCTCGGTGCTGGTGCATTCTTCGGTATCACTCAAGCAAGATGTTGGCTGGAAATATAGCACTCAACAAAATATGAACACAATTCTATATTCCATTCTGTCAAGTTAAATAGCCTGATTACATCTAAATTCCATATGGTTCCAAGCCCTTAATTATTTTCCCACCCTTAATCTTTTCTATGAAAACATGCCCAGCTATGAATCTTACCTCTAAAATAGAGCTCAGACTCTTGATATCATCTTTGTTGTTTTTCTCTGGCTTCACCGAACACATTAATATTCTTTTGAAGGTAGATTGCTTCAAATTTAACTTAATATTCCAAAACTGGCCGGAATAGTAATGTTCATAAGAACTTGTTTCGATTTACGGTTCAATGCCCAAATCTGAATTAAAAAAGCACTGTAAACTCTTCTGTTTTTAACTCACTGGATTTAATGACAATGGACAAGATAGTCAGTCCAGATTCACAACGGTTCACTGACAGGACTGTGACTTTAGCCTTTACAACAGCATTTTCATAACTAGTACATTTTATTGCTTTTTTAATTAGCAAATCACTACAAGACAGTGGGTGAATTGTGCTTCAATTGATACAATTTTCAGACACAGTATTCATTTTTCAGCCCAGTGTGACTGCATATTTACAGAACATTCACTAAAACCTGAATATGGTTAAAGAGGAATGCAATTCTGCAGCAAATACATATTAAAAATAGAACTGTTTCTCTGAACAGTTTTTTTTTGCAAAACATAAAATACTATTAACATCAGTATTGCAAACATTCACAATTGCTTTTGTTTACAAAAATATTTACACTTTTAGTAGCAGGAATTGATTACTAAAATGGCCTCAAAGTTGATTACTCAATTTAATAATCCTTGCATTTGATATAGCGCCTTCTAGCGCCTGATCACGTCTTTTAATTTTAACAATTCATTGAGAATTTTACAACCACAATAATATTTTAAATGGAGATTTTCAGCACAGCATTTCACAGTGCATTGAAGTTCTGTGGAAAGATAACTGCAAAGTTGAAGAAATGCTATTCCAAGGTGAGATAAAGCTTGTAACATCACTAATGACCACTTAATTGATATTACAATGTTGTTAACAAGTTACAACAAAACCTTAGGAGTTAACATTACTAAGATTGTTAATTACTGCAATTGATAAGATTGTATAGATCGCAACATGTCAACAACAGAATAGACAGATGCAACATTTATTACATTACATGATGCTTCCTTAGGTCCACTTATATATATTATACTAAAATAAATTGCCAACTAATCCCTATTTGTTAAACCATGACAATTTAGTAGTAAAAGGACTTTATTGTTACTAGTAAGATCGATGATATAATGCAAAAGTTGATATTCTGAACTTAAATCTCTTTGAATTACTGGTCCAATTGATTTTACAACGGCAATAATAAATAAGAACATGCACTGGTGTAAACAATATACTTTCAAGGCTGCCCATAAAGCCAGGCAGATACTTCAACCAATACAACCATTTTGATGGAGTAGTCACCACTGATAAGTAGTGTCCAAGAGATAAAACACCAGTGGAAATGTATCTTAGCAAGCTCACCTACAAAAATCACTGTTTTATTAGTTAGTCTAGAAATATAAATGTCTACATTATGTCACTGATTTACAGTTCATATTAACAGTGAAACTGAAGTCACTGAGTTCATACCTGAAGCTTACTGGACCATTTTGGACCATACTGGACCATTTTTGTCTCGCCTCAAACTTCAGGGCAAGGCATTTTACGTTCCTCTAAATCAATCTGTGTGTGAATTGTTTGCTGACAATACATATTCCTATTCAGTATTGATTAATGATACATTTCCAAAGTCTTTTTAAAATTTTATATACAGGTCTATAGGGCAAGATATTCTACCTCCATGAAAGCTGGATTTACCATTGTTCCTTGTATTTTATTCCAAAAATAATGAAGGAGGCTGGATTAGTCACTCGCATTTCATTACCCAATGTCCAATATTATCAACTTGTTTAAAACAATAGTTTATAAGTAGCAGCTTACATTCCCGAATCTCTCAGTTTTAAAGATGGGCAAACAATCTAGATTTCATAGACAATTAAAAACATTGAGCACTAACACACAACATTTAAAATCTGAATGGCCAAATTGAAAAATTCTAATTCTTCCACTATTTTAATTGATTTTTATTAAACCTAACTTGAAACTATGCTCTAATTAATGGGGTTATCTGTCTCAAAGGCTTATGTCTCTTCATTTTATGAATAAATCATCTGTCAGTATGAGGTGTCTTAACACTTGTGTGTTTTCTTAGTTAGTAAAACTAAATAATTAACTGCTAGAGAAACAAATAGAACAATATTTTATCTGTGGCTAAGTTTCAATTTGAAATTTGCATTATTTGTGACTGAATTAGTGGTACTGTATATAAAATATTTGAGTTCTAATTTAAAATAATTGTCTTTGTGGTCAACTAATTTAGCATAAACAAAGTGAATGCATGTGCTAGTAGAACATGCTTAAGTAGTTAAATAACTTCAGGACCCCGGGTCATTGACATATGGGCAGTGAACATCAAATATAAACTCAGACTACAGTAAACAGGTGATTATTTGTAGTACAGTATTCAACACACAAATCACATTGATGTACACAGATGTCTCACGGCTCCAGCAGCAGACTGGCATCAGGCTTGTTCTTAGGAAAAATAAACACATCTGAAAAATGGTAGACAGATACAAATAGTTTTTTTCTTCTGGAAAAAATCTGTCCCTGTCCCTTGTCCAATATATCCATTCATTGTGCAAACTGTCGATGGGTAAACTTTAGTGCAGTTTCCACCATAGTGGATAACAGCTGCTCTGGCCTAACCAAAGTCAATTCTTGGTCGATACTGCAGTACCATTGGATAAGACTGAAAAGATAAAAGAAAGTAAATTAATATTAACACTGTAGGTGTTGTTGTCATTCAATTGGAGGTATCATTGTCATTGTGTGACTAAGTGGAGATTTGTAACTGATGATAGGAGAGGTTTTGTAATCACTGGAAGATCCTAATGCCTTCTCCAAGATCATATAAGCTGCAGGATTCTGCTTGGCAAGGCCAATACTGTTAAGAGTGCTCCCTTCTAATCCTTAGCTTGTCTTATCCAACAGGAAGGGCACTATGTAAATATAAGTTCTTCTTCTAAATGAAATAACGAGTATAATGGGGATCAACAAGTAAAGATAGAAAGGAAACGTTTTGATGAAATGGAAGATATGGGTTGGAAAATGTTATTGTTAAGAATAATCCTCTCAAAGAAAGACATTTTATCTCTCTCTCTCCCCCTTGCCTATTCTCATAAAACACCCCCTAAAATATTATTGTGCTGCTATATTAGTTTCTTTCCCTCCCCTATTAAAACTATAAATATTGGTCCAGTCCAGCTCACAACTATATCCATCTGTCATCATACATAAAATGTCTCTATTTTTGACATATCATGGTATATATTCTATATATATATATATACATAAAATGACAAGGCTAGAATAAATAGTTTGCTCTTCAAAATATGCATAGGAGTTACTTCTCCAAGCAGGCAAAAATGATTGAGATCAGAAGATAGATAAAATGTACAACTTGATAAAATGTCCTAATTTTTAATTAAAACACTAAGCACACTTGTTGTCTAATTATAAAGTAATGAGTTGAAGCACCCAATCTTTTCTGAACAGAATAATTAATGTTGCCTTGCTTGTGATTTTCAAGAATGAACAAAGCTAATAATTGCATTCCCCATAGCACCAACTGCAAATAGCTGCATTCATACGATAAGGAAAATAACCTTTCCACTTTCAAACCCATACAATTATTTCCTTGTTTTATTATTATAATTGAAACCCACAAATATTTTGATTTGTATTTGAATGTTTTGTAATTGAACAAGGATAATTAGCAGCTTAATTTGTTTAACTACCTATTAAGCGCTGTGATTACATGGTAGTTTGCAGACACAAAACACATTTTCATAAGGCAGCATCTGCATCACAATTCACAATGACGGTGGACCTATTCCAAAGGACAAGAGAAAAGATACTCCATGGAGAACATGGAGTGGCAAGAAGATTATTCTCGCAAGCTCTCTTCATTTTAGGTACTACTTTTGGAATTTTGCAATAAAAACCCACATTACTTCAGGCACAAGTCTTTAGTTACACAGGATAGTTTTGGAACCATAAGATAAGGGGGGATGGCGGCAAGGAGAAGATGTAAATAAGTCAGAAACATAAAGGCAGGCAAATGGAATTAAAAGATCTACCATGCATGAACTAATATAATTGTAGGACAGGCTTGATGCGCTGAAAGGATAACTGCACCCTTGCCTATTCTCATAATACACTGCCCAAAATATTATTGTGCTGCTATATTATAGTATCTTTCCCTCCCCTATTAAAACTATAAATATTGGTCCAGTCCAGTCTAGCTCACAACTATATCCGTCATCATACATTAAATGTCTCTGTTTTTGCCATATCATGGTGTATCACATAGATTCTACTTGGTGGACATATTCAGCTCATTTTAATACTATACAGATGAGCACTCAACAAAAACAACAACAACAACATTGCATTTATAGAGTGCCTTTCACGTTGGGAGGACGTCCCAAGGCGCTGGACAGTTGGGTCGGGACCCAAGCGGGGGGGAAATTGTCAGGGTGAGGGGAGGGAAGGGAGGGAGCGAGGAGGGGGTAGAGAGTCGAGAGGGGAGCTGAAGGCACGGTTGAAGGCACTCCACATCGACCTGACGATTCTTTACCAAATGTGATGTTGAAGGGGAGCTAAGGTAAAGTGAATCCTGCATATGAGCGTGATTTACATTTTCCATTAAAATAATTGGAACTATACTGCTTGTAGAGTACCAACTTGCAATTTCCTGGAAATAATTAACTATATTTCAAACAAGGAACTGGACAGAAAATTACAGATGGATGCGTAAGTCTTTTGTCTTGTTACAATACAAACAATAAATGCCCAGAGTCTGTCAGTACAAACCTATTTGAGAACTCTGCATCTCCAGAGTCTTTCACACACTGAACAGTAGAAAACAAACACAGGATAACATTACACTGACTCACAATCTATATAAACTAGGTGTTGACAGAAGAACAAGAACTTAAAAAAGGGGGCTGCCAATCCTACTGAACTCTATAGCTAGACATGCGTTAGGTGTCTCAGACACATGTGCAATTGCTACTTTTATTACTCAGTAAACTACCATAAAATAAAGGATTTTTGAACTGAAAGTAAGGAATAACTTGCGATTAAAATCCCCCGCCTTGAACCATGGCCAGTCCCAAAAAGGTTTCAAAGCTCTCTTCATAACTGATCATCGGGACAAATTTATACCTTTCATATTGCTTTTATATTCTTCATAAATGGGTTCCCATCATGCTCTAACTGTGACCTAACAAGAACACGTACAAGATCCATCAGCTCTGTGCTTCATATTCTATGCTTCTGATATAAACCAAAAATTCCATTTGATGTTTTTATTGTGGTCTTATATACCTGTACTGACACCTTTAATTCCCTCTCTATCTGCACACCAATATCTTTCAAGAGGAGGAAGAAGGAGATGGCAACAAGAGGAGGAAGAAATAGTGAGTGATTATGCTCCTAATTGCTATCTCATCCTTCTGGAAGTGCATGAGTGAGGTCAGTATTGGTTTCCACACTCAAAAACCCCGCTGATGCATATTATGACTTTACGAAAACAAGATGATGATTGAATCCTTATCACAGAAGACTCCTAGCATATGATCTGGCACCATGCAGTAGTTCAGCTGCCCCACTAGCTTCTGGAAAAACATCATCAGACAGTAAAACTTTCTTTGTAAGTTTCCAGAGCCCACCTCAATCCAACCTGATAACCGTGTTTTCTCGGTTGCACAAATTTCCCTCATTCCAGAGTTTCTTTGGTTCTTTTCTATTCGTAGTTTAGGTTGCAGTTCCAAAGATGAACTCGAACACAATAGAGATACAATGGGCAAAATATTCCATCAACAAGGATCACTTTACATTATTTTAGTCTTTCGAGACACTTCTTCTGGAGAAGAGGGAAGTATTTATGACCATTTTGCACAGGAAGAAACAGAGAAAGGTGCTTCTACGAAGCGAAGGAGTGAGAATACAGGACTGTATTCTACATGATTGTTTATGAGAAAAGGTGATGTGACATTCACTCAGTTGAGTTAAATTCCTTTACTCTTGTTGGATCAAAATCACAAGTTTGATGAAGAAGGTCCATTTGTTCTCATCCTCCCAGGATACCCACCCTAAATACCCATCATATACTCCCATCATAGATCAAAGATGGTGATTTCCATCATATCTGCCCATACAAAATTCAACTAATAATTAACGACACAAGTTAAAGATGACAAAAAAGCAGAATCAATATTAGATACAACTACTACTTCTCCCTTTATTCAATGATGATGAATGAAAATAAAACAGCCATTGTAAAGCCAGCCTACGACATTGTAAAGAAAATTACTGCCCGGTGTAGTTTTAAAATTTCATTCTGATTTTTAAGTGTCGGAAAAGCACATGGAGACAATACACTCACATGTACACTCACATTTTCAGCTCTGAGTCTCCACCGAGTCATATAAATGAATTCCATGGTATGGTCCTTCCCCATAATTTCCCCATTGCATAGAACATCAAGCTTTGAAAAGAAAAACAAAAGAGTTACTCTATATGACCAACACAAAGATTAGATTTATAAATGAGTCATTCATTATTAAAAATGCCTAAAAATAGACAACAGATTATGCAACTCCAGTTAGAAATAATCCAATAAGAGCAAATTGGCTCCATGGACAGATTTTCCTATATTCATTCTTGACCAGAACAAACAAATCCTCTTAAAAATAATTATTTTTTTGTCAGTTGCAATGCATTGGTGTGATAACAAATTATTTTAAATCATCTAAATGATAACTGCTGTTTCTAGCAGTGATTTAGCAGTTTCTACTTTTTAAAAAAACATGGATTCAAAACCATTTATCTCCATTCTATGCCTTGTGATGCAAAATTACAAATCAGGAAGGATTTGATTCCTGATCAGTGCTGTGATTAACTGTACCAGGGATAAATGGGATTTTAAATGGCTTTATGATCACTGAGAGGAAAGAAGTGGATGGCAATAAGAGAAGGAAGAAATAGTGAGTGATATGCTGTTAATGGCTATTAGTCTTCCCTTCTGGAAGTGCATGAGTGAGGACAGCGTTGGATCCACACTCAAATCCATTGCTAATGCTCACTGACCCGATTTGCACATGCAGAACAGCCACTTTATGCGAACCACCAACAGGTTGCAAAGTGTAAAATGAGGCTCTGACCTAGAAAGTTTGGCTTGGTTATATTGCACACAACTTTTGGCGTTTTTAAAGCAACAATCTTGAAAGTAGGGCTAGTCAATGCGTTAGTCAAACTTTAAGAGTTAAAAAACAACCAATGTCAGAATACTTTTGAAACAGATCTTTTAAAGGGCCATCTTCTACGTGAAAACATATTTGACAGATTATTTAACATTAATTTGCAAAAAAAATGACAACAGCAAATGTTTACACTTCAACCACACAACTAGTCACATGCACACAACTAAATAATGGCTTTTCTGTGAGAAGTGTGGGACAAATGAAAGGATTTTAATATATAATACTGTATGTTTCATAAATCTAACATATTGAGACTCGTAAATATCATCTCTAAGAACACCATTGCATTAAAATCACATATCTATTTAATATAGCCATCAACTTACTGAAAATCAGTCCTGACGTAGACTGACAGATACAGTGATTGAGCTAGACATTCGATTCACATTGAATCTCCTTCGCTCAATGAAGAAACACCATCGAGTCCAATGACAGCTCAAAGCTATGCTCAATCTCGAGGGACTTAAAATACATAGCTGATAAAAAAATGTATACAACACTTAATAGTATGCACGTTGATCTGACAGTACTGCAAAACAGTTGTGATCCGTAACTTAGCCCATAATAACAAGCTGTACTAAATACACTTTCTACGTAGAGGCAGATTGTTATCACACATGCACCTACCACTAAAAGTGAACAAAATTAGAATCAGATGATTAAAATGCTTGTAATTCTCACCTCACAAGTGCTAGGAAGCTTTAGTTTTAAACTAAGAAATTTCTTTATGGTTCCCACTGTTACTCTAGACGAACAGCGGATAAACTTCTTCATTAAGCCCTGCGGATAGAAAATAAAATTTAGCACCAAACAAAAAACAAAATGCTACTCCTAAATGTTAACATGCCACTCGTAAGCTCTTACATTTGTCACAAATACAGTAAATATATTCTCACGATTGCCGTTCCAGTAATCATCCAGTTAGAGCAAACAATCTAATTAGATTATAAAAAAATCATAGTGAAACATTTGATGGTGATGTGAATAATGTTAAACACGAACTGACACAGCTACGTAACTTTGATGATTCTAAATCAGAATACAGATGTCAAATTGAAGCCAACACAGGTAGCAAAGGAGAAAGAACAAGTTGGGGAGGACAAGTTTGCAGGGCTATGGGGAGAGAAAGGGATAATGGAATTGATTTGGATAGCTCTTTTCAAAGAGACGGCAAAGACCCGATGGGCCGAATGGCCTCCTTCTGTGTTGTGTAATTCTATGATTCTATGATGAAGAAAAGAAATCCACCGCCCCCTATAATGGTAAATAAAAATCAGAATCGAGCATTTGCACAATCAGTTTCTGCCAGAATAAAAGAGCAAGAAGCTAAGAATTTGCCTGGCTTTGAATGTTTCATTTATCCAATGAACAAACCACAAATAAGAAAATAACTGAGCTTGGGCTTGATCAAATTAAACCAGACACGTTTGGGGAGTCTGAATCTACAGCTTAGGTCAATGTTCAACATCTAGCTAAACACCTGTTGCTTTACTGCCTGCTCTATTTAAGATACTAACTCAGGGAAAAGCAACACATTTTACTTCCAGTCTGTAAAGTTTACAATAGTTGATTAAAAGGTTGCCACTTTAAACACCAACAACATCCCTGGAATTATACAAAATCAGTGGTGTGTACAAGTGAGCATTTGAGTGAGCAAAGCTTAACACATAAATAATTGTAAGTGAGCCATAAGTTTTTTCCTAAGATAGTTCAAAAGAGGCTGAAATAAAATGAAGATGTTCTGATATCAGGAACCATGAAGCCAAAGCTGAAGCATTATGGAAGTTACATGGATTTTGTAACTGTGTTGCACTCCAACTTAACCTGCATCTTGTATTCAATAGAACATGTCATTTTATGCACTTGAAGTCATTAGCAATATATTCAGTGCATGTGAGAGGAAAGATGGCTTTGTTATACACATTACAGTGATAGCAATCTAGCCTTGCAACAAGAATAGGGTAATCTGTTGACAATTAATGACTAGATATTTATGTTTTGTTATCTTACTGACAAAAAGAACACATATTACTGCCTAGCAAAAGCCTCGGTTTCTAGAATGAATCCAATCGCTACAGCTCAATAGTTATGTCACAATCAATCAATCTACTGATGCTCAGAATGAATGTTCCAGTGTATTTTTGCCAGAATAGAGTAGCTTGAACATGATTAAAGCACTTGGCCTCACTTCATACTTTAATCAGTGCTGTCCATTATTCCAAGAATGTTCTGTTTTATCTTAGTACACTTATGCTACCTACCACATACTTTTTTTATTAATAATGAGGAATTAACTATTCCACATATACGATGGTACACAATTTCATGTCACAATTAGATAAATATTCAGCAATTTCCCCCAATAGATGGCACCAAGTGAACAATAAGCTACAGACTGCAGGATTGTAGATTTAAACCTCAAACTGTGCTGATTTAGCTGATCTCAGCCAAGTAGAGTTGGAGGGGGGAAAACAATTAGCTTCAGTTAGTGAGGTTAAGTAATTTGCTAGGGTTCCCACTCCCAACTGCTATGTAGAAACTATACAAGGTACATGTGTGTGGACATCAGGTGTGGACAGGATGGATCTTGGTTGTGATGCCCATTCCACTGTCAAATAGTACAGCTCAGAAATATTATTATACCATTCAGAGGGATTACATTAATATTTCAGGGTAAGCAATACATGTTGTTGACACAATATAACTTTTAAACAATACATTATATTTTAAAATGAAATTCTTAATGGTACCTTTACAGTGTTATCCCCCGATTGCCCATTGTTTCGTAAGCAGTCTAGACAAATAGCTATTTGTGGATCACTTCTGTGGTAATCCTGATCTTCTTGGTCCTCTTCCTCTTCTATTTTGGTTCTCTTAGCTTTGGGGCCTCCATTATCTTTTCATAAAGACAGACAATTATATCCAAAAAATGTACCATAAATGTGCAGCTACTGCAGAATATCAATTCTAAAGGGCAAGATCTATAAATGGTTCAACATTTTACTTGTTTTATTCTGAAAAATGTTACTTTCCTATTTCCATAACCGTGTTACAGTATTTAGAGGTTACTGCATCAAACTTGCATAACAGTACACATATAAATTATAGAAGTCCCTGCTTGAGTGGAAGCTTATGAATTTAAGTAGCTTATAGCTCATCAGTCACTAAGGTTAAGCAGCTGAAAACAGCAAGAATGGAAGGAGATTGTGCTACAGTCATTGCTGGATTGATAATCTACCACTGTTCTCTGATCTTTGTTCTTTATTATTCTCTTACCTAGGCTGGTGGAATTACAGAACTGTGCCCACTCACAAATTTTGATCATCATTATCATCCCATGTTAAAGCCAATTTACGTCAAATGACTCATCACTGCCAAGTGATACTCCTACACATTCCGGTTTCTGTGCAATCACATTGATTCGTCATTGTTCCTCATTAATCAATTCATTGTTTGGCAGAAAGATTACTGGAAGCTACCATGATGACTGAGTAGGTAACAGAAACCAGAAGATCCCAGGTTCAAATTCCAGTCTGCAACAAGTTAGCTGATCTCAGAAGGAGCAGCAGTTGGGGAGTTTCAATTAAGGAGGACAAAAATCAGTCATTAGTTCCCTGCTCCTGATCACTATCCATTGACATACCAATTACGATAGCATGCATTGTGGATGCTTTGATATTAACAGGATCAGGCTCGGCTATTTCATGATAGAATAGCCTGCTGATGCAACGGCACTGAAATGTTATAGCTTAGAATGATACAAGTTCAAGACAACAGTTAATGGTGTTTGATCTCAAAGGGAAGAATGTATTGAGTGAATATTCAAGGCTTCCTCACAGGACAATTGATAAAATCAATAGAGGGAGTTATCCAACTCAATTCTCTTGCACTTGAAAATAACAAATTTCAGAGGGATAGTGGCAGAGAAATAAAAAACATTAAACAAAGATGAAGGAGGGGGCAGAACCTATTTAAATTATTTAAAGGCTCAAAGTTCTACAACAATTATTTATTTTGCCAGCACCAAATAGGTGAATTCAATCCAGTACCTTTGTTCTACCATTAAGTGAATCCCTTCATTTAAATATGAAGCTAAGCTTTTCTTTCTCAGCTTACCATCTCCATTTTCTTGAGGTTTATTTTTCCTCCAGAACTCTTCCTCTTGCTGTTTTTCCACTGGCCAAAACAAAATATTTTTCCCAGGTGATTTAAAATGAACTTTTCAAACGCAGAGTAAAAACAAATAAATATTGCAATTGATAATAAGAACATTGTAAGTTTCATTCTTCCATATGCTGTTGACTTATCTGTCAATTGAATAGCCAGTCCACTATAATCTTTGCCTTCACAAAGCCTATTACTGAACATTACAAAAATGCATTGCCATAAAAAGCCCTCTCAAGATATTATTAATTATTGGCAGAATTTCCATTTTGTTCCAAATAGTAGTTCCCACTTCTTCCCTTTTTCCACCCCAACTGAAATCTCAAACAAATTCTTGAAGGTGAACACTCCCCCTTGAATTTCACCTTAAATGGATGTAGCTTTAAGTCAAGCAAAGTCACTCAAAGTCACTCAAAACCTGCATAATAAACAATCTAGAAACAACATTGTACAATTAAACACAGCAAATTCTCAGCTTTAATAATAGGTCCAAATACAAATAGTCTTCAATCTCAACAGGGACTTTTATCTGTAATTACTAAAAACATGTAATGTAATTGAATGAGTAAGTTTCACGGTGGTCTTCTACTACAGTGTCCAACTGTTGTGCTGTGTCAAAATAATAAGCTACAGGTTTCTGAGCTGATTCTGGGCTACACTGCCAAATCATTTGAGTTCAGACTCCCAGATGTCAAACTCAAAAGTGTATAATTCTCCGGTAAGGCTGCACCTAGAGTATTACAAACAATTCTGGTCACCACAACATAAGGGGGCTGGCTGCCCAGGGTGCAGAGGCAGTACAGAGGAACGAGGTTGATTCCCAGTGGTAGAGGAATGAGCTATGAGCAATGATTAGACAAACTTAGCTAGCTCAGTCTTGAAAGGAGTCACCTCAGAGGGGACCTCATAGAAGTATATAACATCTTAAATGGGACTGAAATAAACAAATCCAGAACAATACTTCAGGATGCATCAAGAGATTAGAATAAGAGGACACAGGTTTAGGGTTGCAAAGGGTAATTTCAGGACAGACACCAGGAAGTTCTTCTTTACCCAGAGGGTAATTAATGATTCGAACAGGTCCCAAGGATGGGTGGTTAATGGCAGGATATTGGACTTATTTAAAAACATGTTGATGCTGTGACTGGAAGATGATAAGATACCAGAAAATATCCTCAGAAACAGTCTAAAAATAGTCTGAAAAATTAAGGTTGATTATTGTTGATCACTTACTTTCTTTAAGATCAGGCACCAATTTAAATATAATTTCTTCTAATGTATTGTCCAACCTTGAAAACAAAGAACAAAAAAATTACACAGTTTGCTCGATTGTTACATTGTTAGCATTAATACTGAATTTCATTGCACTGTAAAATAATCACGAAAAAACAGGACAGAATAGTCCTGATTTCCCCTTCCTGAATGAATGGGCCTGACTAGCAACAGAACACAGTTTTTTTTATTTTCTTGGGCTGTACTGAGCTGCGAAAACTTCACATGTACTTTCAGGGAACTTTATGCTGCATCATGAGGCACTAATCACTTAACATAACCAGAATGCAAAACACTGGGCTATCCCTCAGCTTTGGTGGGCTAAGTGCAGGCAAAGTCGGTTTGTTCAACGTTCTTTGAGGTCTAAATTACATACAGAGGTTGCAAAATGAAAAGCAGTCAATTGCAGCTCAGAAGAAAATTTGGAATGTAAAGACAAGGAGATTTTTATGTTCTTCAACTGAATAAAAAAGCAACTTCCGATTTAAAAAAACTGGAATGGAAGGGGAAGAAAGAGTGAAGTCAAAACGTTAAGGAAGTTTTGTAAAAATCAGAATAGTTCACAGTTACTTATATTTTATTTTTCTTTTAATGTTACTCCTTGGGCAATTATGGAGCATCATTTTAATACCACAAATGAGAACAACATAATGTATGAAGGGCACATGTGAACTATGAAAATTGATATTCCCATATCCCTATGGTAATCTAAACCACTAAACATACTTCTGCAATATTATTTTAATGCACTCTCAGTAAAAACAATTTCAAGCAAGGGGATAGTGCTTCAATATGCAATAAAATTTCAACTTTAACAAATTTATGCTTTTAACAGCCCAGATATTATACATTTTATTTCTAGCCACAGAGTTGAATCAGTCAAAGAGTTTAGCTCTGGTACTGTAAACGCTCGATTACAAAAATATTCTTCAAAACAAGTTCATGGAGCTCAAAGTTGAAATGTTTTCACTCTATTGGATAGATTCAAAAAGCTTTAACTAGATCCTTAGTTAACCAGAAAATATTTAAATCTCAATCTCCAGTGAGAAGATTTCTAACATACTGCTGATCCATCAGCATTATATTTTACCACTTCACGAGATTGAAGGGTTGATATCACAGTATCTTTTATTTAACTGCCAATATGCAAATGTTGAGCACTGGGAAATTAAAAAGACTACAATCCACAAATTTAATTGTGTTCTTTTGACATCTTAGACTAAATTACACTTTAACAGTCCAAGTTCATCACTGCAATAAAAAAACATTTTCTTGGACATGTAGTGTTCTATTAATACAAAGTGTTCAGTTAAAGCATATTCATTTGGGGACAAGACTTAACAAAATGCATTGCTTCTTCAGCATATGCATTTATACATAAAGCTTATCAAAAATCAGTGAATTTGGACCCCAAGTATTCAAATGTAAATACTCACACTAAATAATCTGCTCCCTTGAAATACTGGATACAAACAGTTCAGAAACTATTTCTGAATGGTAACACAAGAAATGCCTCATTCAGAAAACAGTTCAATTTGAATTCGAATGTAATCAGGAACATATTCCTCTAAATAGGTATCAAACGTTTCATGAATTTATTTATTGAATAGATTTCTCCGACAATTAAAAATTCTCAAACGAGGAAGTGGTTTAGACATTAACTAAGGATTGTATAAATGCATAACGTAGAACTAAATGCGGCTTACGCAATCACATTTCATTATAACTGTTGTATCTAAAGGAGCATCTGTGAGATAAAGGCTAGGACTTGAAAACCAGCCGTAATAATGATGAGATTGAAATATCAAAGTTGTTAAAATAAAAATGAATCAGATGGAATTGTCACAATATAGATGGGGATGGGAGAGAGGGAGGACAGTGTGTTGCTATGGGTTAGTACATTGTTTTTTCTTTCATCTCTTGAAATTTATTTGAAACCCAGCCTGATCCAACAGCTATGATGAGTTCTATGGGGTATGAATTTGGGGCAAATAATAATAATAATAATCTGACTGGTTCTCAATGGGCATGGATCCACAAATCATTCTATTTTCCAGCACTAATATCACTCAGATTAGAGAGCACAAAAACAAGCACGTTTGACTGTTTAAGAAGACCAGCTTTAAAAGAAGACATTTCTAAAACACCATTACTGAAATTTAAAAATGTTTCTGAAATTTTAACCGGAAGCCACATTCTGCTACCTAATCCAGTAATCTTCGTTCAGTGATTGGTCTGTCGAAGGATTTATAACTGTAGGCACCAGGTGCCAGACTTGTCCACATCAAAGTCATTTTTGCTTCAATGGAGGCAGCAGAAACTGAGCATTATCATTTCTTGTGGTATGAGGAAATCAGAAAGTTTTTTAGGGGGCAAAAATGACAATTGTTTATCATAACTGCCCTTGTGAAATACCAGACACCTTCACTAGCTGTCTGGGCTGGAATAGGGATATAATAAATAGTTCTATGTAAAAACCTAATAGTTGACACTAGTTGCTCAGAATTCAAATTCCGTAAAAGATGATTGCTCGGAAGCCAAAGCCACCGACAGTAAATAACAAACAAATCACTCCACTGTCAAAAGCTGTATATGCACCCAACTAGATGGCTGTGAATGTCTCATCCCCAGCTCTTGTGTTTATTCATTAAAACCTTGAAATAAATGGAAAACAGTAAGATGAAGCTGTTAATCAACTTTGCAAACTCTGAATATCAAAAATATTAAAATATAAATGTATAGACGCAATAGAAATAATTGTGTTGAAGTCTTGAAACAATGCCAATTACTCTGCTTTTTGAGAACCCTATTACCGTAGTAGGATAAGAACTTTGACTTCCTGCATTTGCAGTAGCATTAAACAATCTCCACCCACTCACACCTGTTGCATTATCCTTGCTAATATTCCTGCAAACCTCAGGAGCCACACTGCACGTTGAAGGTCAGCAGTTTGCAAATCACATTTCAAATCTGCCACTAGATTTACATTGATACCAGTGTCAGTTTAGCACAGTGGGTTGCACATTTACTTCTAGGTCAGACGTACCACATCAGGACTTGAGCTCATAATCTAGGCTAGCGCTAGTGCAATACTGACAGTGCAATACACTGCTGAAGTGGTCGTTCTTGAAATGAGATGTTAAACTGAGATCCCAACAAAATATTCAGTCATTACGCTTCAGTTAGTCATGTGAAAGACTCCTCCCAAAGTGAAAGGCACTATATCAATTGAAACTATTGTTACTATTATTATTAAAATTAATTCCTCATCGAAATACATCAAGTAAACATTGGTCATTCATTTATTTTGTTGCTGTTTGTCGGACAAGGTATATTGCTGACATAAAGTAGCTACAAAGTCCCTTGAATTAGTCTGTGCATTTGAAAAAAACTCATTGCTTAAAGCATCATGTGTTGTTTCAGTGATAAAATGCTACAATTAATTGCAAGTATTCTTTTATTATAAATTTAGAACAAAGTTAGTAGTTTAGAATTGACAGAGAAAAGTCAAAATTACAAATATAACGATTGGTAAGGAGGCAAATAAGACAACCATAATTGCTACGTTTTAAATGTATCCATTAATTGTGTAAGATGAATAATCTAAAGCTGACATCAGAGTAGTTTTATTACTATATTAATCAATGTTAATTTACAATGCTAAAAATATACACAACTGGTAAAACTATGGGGCCATTTACCTCAATCTATCACTAGCCCAATATTTAAACCTAGAATAGTAGAAAAACTCAAGTCACAGTATGATTTATACTTGCAACTTACCTTAGCATTTCCAATGGGTTGGTTTCATGAACTTGAATTCCACATTTTGGACAGTCATTGGTGTCTTCAAAATGTTGGACAATACAACTTTTGCAAACTGAAAAAAAAATGCAAACTTTCCATTTACTACGTTAACATTTTATTTTTCAGTTAGAACAAAGTATTTTAAAATTCATCATTTCCACAAAAGTCGGTAATCTTTATATTGCAATTAGTAGCAGACAATTAGAACAATGTGATTGTCTGGTTTGACTAAGTACATCTGTAGCAATTCTAATTGTCAGAATACTTGTGAGTATTTCTCAATCATCCCTTTCTAATGCTCAATATACAGTAAAACAGTCGGAAGCAATCTCGGCAGATATTTTTCATAAAATAAGTACCTCACTCTTTGGCTGCCAGCAGATTTAGGTAAACTATCTTTGACTTTGACTCTCAGTCAAATCTGTTTACTTAACTACCATATGATACCTCTTTTATACTTTTTAAAAAATAAACAAGGTAACATACTTTACTCACCTCCGAGCTGTTATCTACTTTCCCTATTGAAGATGTGGGCAATTGGCCACTGATTGACCAAAAACACTACCTCATTAACCAATCAAGACTCAGCTCGCTCAAGATTGACTGGTCATGTTATGCATGGAATTGAGTCCATTTCTAAATACTATTAAAACTAGTATAAATACTATGAAGATGAGTTATCTTAGTCATAGCATTAGCATCTGGACTGTACCCTGGCAAAATGCATCACAGTGCAACAAAAGCTATTCCACTATCATTGAAATTAATTCCAGTGGCATTTAGAAAGACTGGAAATATTTATCCAGCAATTCTCATTCACTATTTCACATCAGGAGAGTTATATCTAAAATGTCTGTCTTATAGCCTCCCTCTCTGGTGTTCTAAAGGGAAACCAATAACAATAATCCTTGCATTTGATATAGCGCCTCATCAAGTCGTTGAGACATCTCAAAGCGCTTCACAGAATATACTGTAAAGTGAATTGACTGCATTTTGTGGACAGCCAATTGCCTACAATAGTGTCCCACAAACAGTCATTATTATTATTTTACTTTTTTTTTGGGGGGGGAAGAATTATTACTCCCAGAAAAAACATCTGCCAATCAACAAATAACCGGGTTCCTATTTACTCCTAGGTAAACAGAGGGGTGTGGAGTAAGGACATTTGCCTAAAGTTTCGCCTTGCCCAGGAACTGAACCCAGGTCCTCTCGTTTGTGAGGCAGGCGCACTAACCACAAATACTCTTGTGAATAGGTGGGGAGTATAATGTACTCTCCACATCAACACTTTCAAATAAAAAATTATCTTCAAGAGGGCCGTATAAGGTTTGTAGACTCTAAAAGCAGCCTGGTTAGAAACTAACTGATGTACATAGTAGGACTGTCAGCAGATAGCTCTGAATGTAGTGAAAAGGGACTGTTAGCCTTGCTAGTCCTCGTTGGCAGAAAATTAATTATAGATTTCTTTTCAGAGTATTTATGTTCAAATACTTTCAAATATTAAGACTCCAATCTGGTAAACGATAACAACAATAACAACAACTTGCATTAATACAGTGCCCTTCACAAGGGGTAGCGTCTCGGAGCGCTTACCAACAGGTTCTTGAAAAATGGAGAAAAGCTGTTCAAAAACAGGAGATTATGGTGGTGCTGTCGTTCCACCCACTTCCCATATACAAAACTGGCCACAGTCTCACAAACAGATGTCTAACCTGTGTTCCATACGGGTATTGAGTTGTTGAGAAATGGAATCGAAATGAACCGATCATGTGATTTATTTAAATATCATTTTGCGTAGAAGGAAAATGATACAGCCAGGACATCATACGTCAAAAGATCAGACACGCTTAAAACACAGGTTTGTGTCTGCTCCTGACTATGACCATATTTGCATATAGCCTAGACACGAAAAAGGCTTCTGGAGTTATAGCATGCTCATTCTAAGTACACAAATTAAATTGAGCCAGTTATCATTTGTGCATTTGTTGAGGTTGTGAAGCGGAATATAATACAGAATAAAGAAGCAACTGAGTATGTTGTGATATGCACGCATCACTATGTGGTGACAGTAATTCCGAAAACTACTGACTGAAATGCAGTAAAAGATACAAATGCGTCACAAGAACCGCCAGCTCTGGAGCAAGCACAATTCATAACTGGAAAGAAAACAAGCACGGAACTGGAAACACTTAAACAAAGGTGGGTGAATTTTGAACTCGCTACAGGTGTAGCAGAAAAAGGAGACGACTCCAGAGTTGACACATTTTAACTCGACCAATAATGACATGGTTGATGCGTAACATGTTTACTTAGGACACAATGAACACAAAATGTTGAACGGAAGTCAGAGAAATGTTGCCTACTAATCAACTACACTGTATGTGAAATAGGCTTTCAACTTAAGAAAGAAGGGATCATAATGTTAGTGCTGAGGAACCATGCTTGACCCCAGAATATCTTTACATTCTTTCATCTAGTTCTTTCATTTGAGAACTTCCTTATTAAATTAGGTATGTAACAACAAAACTGGCACGCCTTGCTTGGATAATTAATCTCTCAGATCGCTCTACCCATTCTTGTTAGGCCAAAACCAATTCTATCGCAGAAGGAATGTATAGGATGCTTGTGTCTTTAGCACATACACTGTTATCCATCCTTGAAATTACTTGGACTGGACCACTCAGTTATTCTAGAACTACCAATGGAGCTTCCTTTATTCCAGAGGGTTTACTTTGGAGTTTAATTTCTCATTGCTAGGATACCTCCATTTTGCAAACTTTTTTTTAATCAATTATGTAATTGGATAAAGCATACAAGAGTTACAATTTGTAAGAATCGGTCACTTTCCAAGATTTGTCTAAGAATTGCAGCCACTCTTTCAGTATCTGCACAATCTAGTTTGTATACATGAGGGAAAAGTGCAATATATACCCATTATACTAACTACCAAATGATATGGGAAAGCATAAGGGTCCATTGCAAACCAACTGTAGTGTCAAGTCCAAGAATGATCTGCTCACACGCCCAAGAGAATCCAATATCAGCATTCTTTCTACAATTGACAAACACGCCACCTCCAACACCATGACTCTCAAACACTCTATATCCATTGGATTTTGCTTTCCCATTGCATGCTACTGCTTATTGTTCCACAGACTTCATGCTCACACAAAGGCCACTGGTACACCATCATGCACAGCCCAAAATAAACAAACACCAACTACAAACATTACCACCCCACAACACTTTCTTCTTTAATTTCTGCATTATTTTCACTGAATGGGGATCCATTACATTAAATAAATGATTATCCAGGTTCATTTATTTATAATCTTTGCGGAAAAATAACCCCTGTAACCTCTTTCTGTGTGTCTCACTGTAAAACAAAAGTTTTGCTTTGAATGGGTTTGCACTTATACCCATTTATATAACACTGTTTTCCAAAATGAAACTCACCATTTCCAGTGATCTGTCCTTGGCAATACTGTCTGAAGTATGGATTCTTTCCTACAGGAGATGGATAAGACCAAGCACTGAGACACAGAGAGAGAGGTACAAGACAAAGTATAAGTAAATATTTATGATTTTTATGGGAGGGGGAAATAAATACATTTGAGTGTTGTTGACTGTCATATGCATTTTGTAAAAACGCAGTGTCATGGATGAAAGACTGAACAATGTGTAACATCGCTCCTCAGATAAAGAACATCAAACTCAAGGCAGGGACATAAGAAAAGAACCATCAAGCCCATTCCTTCTTTTAGGCCACTCAAAACCTCCCCTAACATGAATGTCAACCCAACTATTAGATATTCTAAAATCCACCCCCTTATACCCAAAGATAACCAAGTCTAAATGACATAATATTCATCCATTCTCACATCTATCCTCTTTTCCTTCACAGACAACATTCCTCATTTGTGTCCGATGGAATAATTCTTCATCTCATGTCTATAATTATCCTAATATCCTATAATGTCTTCATTCAGACACTTAGCCAGTTTGTGTCTGGCATACTGTTATAATAATCTTTACTTTGGATATAGCATCTTTCATGTCAGGAGAATTTCTCAAAGTACTTTGTAAGATTTACTGTAGCGACTGGATATTGTGTAGGTCAACCCGGCAGCCAATTTGCATACAACGATATCCCACACACAGCTATGAAATGAATGACCAATTTTATCTGGGGGATTGTTAGCCAGGACACCAGAAGAAACTTCCTTCTCTTCAAATAGTGTCATGGAATCTTTAATGTCCACTTGAATAGGCAGACAAGTGCTCTGTCTAGTGTGTCATCCGAAGAACGCCACCTCCAACATTGGAGCGCTCTCCCAGGACGCTATTGGACTTTCAGCTTGGACTGTGGGTTTAAGTCTCAACTTTAAAGTCCACAAAAATGAGCCCACAACAATCAAACTCAAGACATAATTAAACCAGGCTGACACCTAAGGCTTATTATTGCTAAGTGTCCAACTCACTTTTTATTGCTGGTCAATTATTACCCAATTTGCATTACAGAAATAATAATTATTCAGTTCACTTTTCAAAACACCAACGGGTTCTGTCCATGCCATAAAAAGGGCTGCATGCTAAGTATATGCTCATGTCTCTGGAATAATAAAATTATTCCATGGTGACAATCCTGGCATAATCTATTATACAATCTTGAACAAGACATTATATACATGTTCTCTATTCTAGTTACCCCTCGAAGACCCTCAGTTTGATTTCTTTTAAAAAACATTTTCAATTAAGGAGATGTTTTCTGGCTCCGCACATATCTCAAATTCCGTTGGCAATATTAGAAACACACAGAATATCTTTACAACAGTTTGTCATAATATGTATGAATCTGAAAGGCTACAAAAGAGCAGTTATTCCTCAAAAAGCTTAAAATGGTAATACCTGTAATTAGCAAATAGCTGTTTGTCAAACTAATGTGGATTCTATAATTGGTTGCAGCCATAGTGCTCTTAATTTCTGTAAACAAACCACACACCTGGGTTCCAAAATCATTTTTCAATATAAAATATTGTGTGCAATATGAAAATAATTTTGACACCCAATCCT